GGTCAAGGCTGGCTGGCAGATCATGAGGTCAGGAGATTGAGACCATCCTGGCTAACACAGTGAAACCCCATCTTTACTAAAATATAAAAAAATTAGCCAGGCGTGGTGGCGGGTGCCTGTAGTCCCAGCTACTCGGGAGGCTAAGGCAGGAGAATGGCGTGAACCCGGGAGGCGGAGTTTGCAGTGAGCTGAGATCGCGCCACTGCACTCCAGCCCAGGCAGAGAGCGAGACTCTGTCTCAAAAAAAGAAAAAAAAAAAAAGTAGTTTCTGGGCCGGTCATGGTGGTTCATGCCTGTAGTCCTAGCACTTTGGGAGGCTGAGGTGGGTGGATCACTTGAGGTCAGGAGTTCCAGACCAGCCTGGCCAACATGGTGAAACCCCATCTCTACTAAAAATACAAAAATTAGTCAGGCATGGTGGTGCTCGCCTGTAATCCCAGCTACTTGGGAGGCTGAGGCAGGAGAATCGTTTGAACCCGGGAGGTGGAGGCTGCAGTGAGACGAGAGCGTGCCACTGTACTCTAGCCCAGACAACAGAGTGAGATGCCTCAAGAAAAAAAAAAAAAGTAGTTTCTGGCCAGGCATGGTGGCTTACACCTGTGATCCCAACACTTCGGGAGGCCAAAGTGAGAGGATGGCTTGAGGCCAGGAGTTGGAGACTAGCCTGGGCAACACAGCATGACTCTGTCTCTAAAAGAAAAAGTTTCTCAAGATAACATATCCTTAGATATCCTCCAACGGGGAGATCCTCCAACAAACGCAATATGGTTCTAACCTCTGTAGGGTGTCATGGATATAATATTTTACATATATATTACACATCTGAGACTTCACCATCTCCCTCCCACATACGTACCCTTGGAGAGCTACTTAATCTCCTAGGTCTCATTTGTAAAATGAGGCCCAAGGAGCTGTAAAGATTCAGTGTGAGACGATCCATAAAAATGTTCCATACATGACAGCCAAGCATGGCCAGACCACACTTATTGCAAGACTCCAGTGCCAGGCACAGGGCCCTCTGTAGCTTGAGCTCTTCCAGGAATTGGCACTCAAATTGGGACTATCCACTAAGGGTAGATGGGACATGCAAGCCAATTTAAAATAGTCATGGGCTGTATAATGACGTTTTGGTCAACTGACTGCGTAGATGACAATGGCCCCCTAGGATTATATATAATGGAGCTGAAAATTTCCCATCATCTAATGATGCTGCACCCATCATAATGCAGCGGAATGCATTTCTCATGTGTTTGTGGTTATGCTCGTGTAAACGAACCTACTGTGCGGCCAGTCACAGCAAGGTCTAGCACACACAACCGATGATGCTAATACAGGACTATGTTACCGGTTTATGTCTTTACTGTACTTCCTGTTACTGCATCTCCAATGGGACAATGTATGGAGGTGGACAACAATGATACTGAAGATCCTGGTCCTGTGCAGGCCAAGGCTAATGTGTGTGTTCGTGTCTTAGTTAACAACAAAGTTTAAAAGGTACAAAAAAAAGCTCACAGAATAAGAGTATAAAAAATAATTTTGTACAGCTGTACAATGTGTTTGTGTTTTAAGCTAAGTGTTACTGAAGAAAGAAAGGTATCTTTTAATAAATGTAGTGTGGCCTAAGTGTACAGTGTTCACCAAGTCTACGGCAGTCTCCAGTGGTGCACAGCAGTCTCCAGTGGTGTGCAGTAGTCTCCCATGGTGCACAGTGGTGAACTGTACTTTGCAGTGATGTACAGTAGTCTCCAGTGGTGCACAGTAGTCTGCAGTGGTGTATAGTGGTGTATAGTAGTGTAGTCTGCAATAGTCTCCAGTAATGTGCAGTAGCTCCAGCAGTGTACAGTAGTTTGCAGTGGTGTATAGTAGTTTGCAGTAGTGTATATTAGTTTGAGTAATCTGCAGTAGTGTACAGTAGTCTGCAGTGGTATACAGTAGTGTACAGTAGTCTGCAGTGGTATACAGTAGTGTACAGTAGTTTGCAGTAGTCTCCAGTAGTGTGCAGTAGCTCCAGCAGTGTACAGTAGTTTGTAGTGGTGTATAGTAGTTTGTAGTAGTCTGCAGTAGTGTACAGTAGTCTGCAGTGGTGTATAGTAGTGTACAGTAGTCTGAAGTGGTATACAGTAGTGTACAGTAGTGTGCAGCAGTCTCCAGCAGTGTACAGTAGTCTGCAGTGGTGCACAGTAGTCTGCAGTAGTGTCCCAGGCCTTCACATCCACTCACCACTAACTCACTGACTCGCCCAGAGCCACTCCCAGTCCTGCAAGCTCCACTCATGGTAAGTGCCCTATACAGGTGCACCATTTTTAATCATTTATACCATATTTTAATGTTCCCTTTTCATGTTTAGCTATGTAAATACTTACCATCGTGCTACAACTGCTGACAGTATTCAGTACAGTAATATGCTGGGCAGGTTTGTAGCCCAGGAGCAATGCCTGTACCACACAGCCTAGACGATTAGGAGGCTATGCCACCCAGGTTTATGTAACTATACTTTATGTTAACACAATGCTGAAGTTGTCTGATGACACATTTCTTAGAATGTATCACCATTGTTAAGCGATGCATGACCATATTAATTCTGCTCCTGGAGCTTTTTTGTTGTTGTTTAAAGAAATGGGATCTCATTATGTCACTCAGGCAGGCTTTGAACTCCTGGGCTCAAGCCATCCTCCCACCTCAGCCTCCCAAGTAGCTGGCATTACAGGTGGGGGCTCTCAGATCACTTTCTGCATACCTTTACTATAACGCTAATTAAACTCTATTAAATTTGATATTACTGGCCTGTCCCACCAGACTATTCCTTACTTAGGAAGAATCTTCTTTTTCTTTTTTGAGACAGAGTTTCGCTCTGTCGCCCAGGTTGGAGTGCAATGGCCCCAACTCAGCCCACTGTAACCTCTGCCTCCCGGGTTCAAGCGATTCTCCTGCCTCCACCTCCTGAGAAGCTGGGATTATAGACATGCACTACCATGCCTGGCTAATTTTGTATTTTTAGTAGAGACGGGGTTTCACCTTGTTGGTCAGGCTGGTCTCAAACTCTTGACCTCAGATGATCTGCCCGCCTTGGCCTCCCGAAGTACTGGGATTACAGGCGTGAGCCACCACGCCCGACCTAATCTTATTTTTCAAATCCCTTCATTTTCCTTCTTCCTGCTTCTCCTTATCCTCCCAAGTACTTTATAAAATGTAAGGGCCTAGAAATATTAGTCATATATTAGTAAAAAATTGGAATAACAAATTCAAGTACTCCAAGGAACCAGTCAGTTAACGTAAACAGGCCCAGTGTAAGAACAGCAGCACAAGCTTGATGATGCTCAATGGCTACTGATCAGAAGCCTCAGTGCTGGGAATAATCAGGGGTCAGGGGGCAATGTGACACTGTATGGAGAGAACGCACAGGCCCTTAAGAAGGCAAGTGGCTCTGACTGACTGCTGCCATGTGAATCCAATGTGTCAGACTTTTCAGGTTTCCAAATGAAGCCAGAAATCTGTAATTTAATATAAAACATCTGCATTAAAAAATGCCAATTCACAGAGAAAATGTGGGCCAAAAATGCACATTTGTGGGACTAGGTGCAGCCCATGGACCGCTGGCTTTTGACCTCTGGTTTAGTGACACTGATGTGTTAGGTGGAGGCTAAAACTGTCTTGAGGATCCATAAAGGACTCCTGATGTGGCAACCTCACTGAGGTACAAGTGAACTACCAAGCAGTCTACGAGGAGGCTGGAGGGCCCAGCTGGTGGGCCAGGGGAGGTCCTGTAGGGCAGTCATAATTGAATTAATGTAGCAAGCAGGACAGTCTCCTGTTGAATGCTTATGACAAAAACTAAAAAGGTGCCCAAATGCCCAGGTTGCCCTACACAAGATGGTGATTCCCCAACTCCACTGGTCCCCAGCGTGCAGACCTTCCAGGCTTACTGTTTCCTCCCCTGCACCATCACTGCCCAACATTATGTATATACTTTAATTCACGTGCTGTTGCCTCCCTCACTAGATCTAGACCCCACCATGGCAGGGTTTTGACTGTTTTGCTCCCTGCAGTTTACCCAGCTACTAGGGCACAGCCTAGAACATGGCAGGTCCCAATAAATTCACTGGTGATCTCTGGGCCCTGACATTGCCCAGCAACTCTCCAGGGGCCCCAGTCAAGTCAGTTCTCTGTTCCTGTCCTCTACATGGGCTAATGCACGCTCCCCCTCTACTCATGCCACTGCTCCTGGCCAGCCTTCCTCCACTCCGGGCTGCTATCCACACTCCCAGAGAAAAAAGAACCCCAGAAGGTGGCCTTGGCCCTCTGGCCATGACAGCCTGGACCACCTGTGCAGTGCTTTTTCCTGCTCCTTGCTTCGCAAGATGGGTGAAGTGCCCTTGTCCTGCTGGATGCAGGGATCTCTTCCCTCTTCACTCATTCTCATCTCCATTTGTTCCTTTCTAATAGCTCTGAAACATGCTCGCGACTTTGCCACCTTAAAATCTCTCTGCTCTGGACCTCGCCCCTCTGGCTGAGAACTGGTCTTTCATATCTGGGACCTTTTATTGTCCCCACTGGACACAGCGGGCTCTGAGCCTCCTGCTGTGCTCATGGGCATGCCAGTGAACTGACACAGTCATCTGCACACTTGCCCAAGTTCTGAGCCATGTCTATCCTATCTTCTTCTTTGCTCCTGTATCCAAATGGTTACGAAATCTTGGAATCATGCACTGTCATTGTCTTCAAATCCATCGTCTCCACCCCAGGCCACCACTGCCACCACCCAAACATTCGCTTGATGTTCTACTGAGTGTGCTTAATATATTTTTTCTTGAATAGAAAACCACCAGAGGATCCTGCTTTGCTCTCACTGGATAATCTTTAGAAACAATATTGCAGGGAACTGAAATTATTTTAATGCTATCTGCTATTAAAAAAAACACTACTCAGAGTATTCATGAATATATAATGAGAATAAGCTTTTTTTTTTTAACTTGTAAAGAAACATGAAATACCTTTCATACCTGGACCGAGCAATGGTGATCGATTCAGCTGAGTATTGGCCTGGTGCGGTGGCGGCGTCTCGACCCTGTGTGTGGTGTTGCTCGTGGTAGTGGTGGTGGTGGTGGTATTGGTCGTGGTACTGCTCTGGATGACCGGGTTGTTTCTATCCCACATGTTTACAGTTTTATTGTTATAGTTGCTTGGGTCCCCCCAAGCTGAGGTACCATCATCAATTTCCATTTTGCGGCGAATGGACGGTGGAGAGGGTTCTTCCCAGCCAGTTGCCTCACTGCTGTCCTTCTGTTTGACTGGTACTGGCCCCCCGATCCACCCTGTTCCTGTCTGTTTCACAGAAGCAGCTCCTCCCCAGTTACTCACATTGTTGTCTTGGGGTTTGCTAGCCCAGTTCTGTTGGGGGCCAGGTTTTAAAGTCTCCCCCCAGTTTGTACCTGGATTGGCCTTTGTATTTGTGCTGTTGCCCCAGCCACTGCTCCCAGATCTTGTGGTGTCATTCCAACCAGACCCTGACCTATTACTGTCAGCATCCCATCCAGATCCATTTTTTTTCCCATCCCCCAAGTGTCCAAGGACAGATGATGAATCTGCCCAATCTCCCCCTCCGGCACTCCAGGCTGGATTTGATCTTTGTCCATCTCCCCAGTGTTGGGATTTGGGCTTTGGAGGCTCACCCCAGGTGGGTGACTTGTCCTCCTGATTTGCGGCCCCACTCCAAGCATGGCCACTCTTGGCAGCAGCAGCAGTACTAACAGCAGTAGAGCTTATCGAGTCCCCCCAAACCCCCGGGCCACTTGGCGCTTTGTTGTTGCTGTCTCCCCAACCTGTGTTTGCTGGCACAGCGGCAGGTGGCGCATTGACCCACCCAGATACTGAAGAGGTATTTGTACTGTTCATGATGGACCCATCGTTCTTCCCCCCTGAGTTTGAAGGCTGAGTAGCTGCACAACCCCAGGCCTCTGTCCCATTGTCATTTTTCCTTTCAGACCTAGGGGATTCTTCAAATTCCCAGGCAGTGTTTTGCTTTACAGGAGTCTGTCCCCAACCAGTATTAGATAGAACTCTTGGGTCAAGATCATTCCTTGGCAACTGGATATGCCCTTGGTCTATAATCCCTTTATCTCGCCTTCGACCTTCTCCCGTTCCTTCCCTCCCAGTGCTTCCTTCATTGTGGTTGCCAGAACCATCACTACTTCCTTCACTTGCTGTAGTTCCAGAAGATGCCGCTTTGGCCCAGGAGTTCATGTGTTCACCACCAGGCTGCACGGTAGGGTTCTGGCTGGTGACACTAGGACTCTCCCACCCTGTTGATCCTTTCCCATTGATGTCACTATTGGAATGCTGGTTTGGGGGCTTTCCCCATTCCCCATTCACACCGTTAGAGGTGCTTCGGCTGGGGTGGCCCCAAGCTCCCGAATGGATATTACCAACGCCATTGTTGCCACTGCCCCTTCCCCAGGCGAGTATTCCAGGACCAGCAGGAGGTCCTGAATCCCAAGCATTTCCTCCATTTCCTTCCTTTTGCACAGCACTGCTGGATCCGTTTTGTTTAGCACTTAATGCTGAGTTCACAGTGTCTCCATTCCCCTGACTGAACCCAGAATTGCTATTTCCTGTGGCAGGGTTACCTGGGGACAGTCCCCATACAGAATTGCTTATTCCTTCAGCACTGCCCCCACTGACTTGAGAAACTGATGATCCGTTAGCACCAGGAAGGCTTTGCAGGTGGGGCGGGATGATGGCCCCCATACCAACAGCCATGCCCCAGTTTGGCAGTCCATTTGTCTGCATTGCATTGATAGGGTTGGGTGAAGAGTTCATGGGGTTAGTGTTATTTGGTCCATCAGTGTTAAGGTTCTGAGGTTGTGCGCTGAAAGACACATTCTGAGAAGTGGACGTTTGTGGTTCTGTGCTCTCTTGCGGCAGCAAGTTTCCCCAAGCACCTAAAGTGCCTGTTGGGTTCCCGTTCTGGTTGCCCATATTTTGACCTATGGCACTGACTGGACTGCAAATACTGGAAGGGTTGCCTGTCGCCACGGTTCCTTCATGTCCAAGTACAGGCCAGGCAGCTGGGTTGGCATTAGGATTAAGGTTAAGATTAATGCCAGCATTGGAGTTGGAAGCACCCCAGCAATTCTGACTTCTCCCATCTCCAATCATAGTGTCCATTTTTCCATCCCCACCACTGATAGAGCAGTGAGCCAGGCCAGAGCTGGAGCCTGTGGCTACACCCCACACTCTGGTCGCACTTCCATTACTGTTCGCTCCCCCTGCTCCAAGGGCACTCTGATTAGAAGGGCTTTGGACGAGTGCGCCATTGGTGCCATTATTGCCATTTGTCTTCTTGGTATGTCCAGTGAAGTTGCCCTGGGCACTCCCTGTAGCCATGCTACTGTTCTCTGAGCCACAGTTGGAGGCAGAGTCAGTGTCTGTAGTACATTCTGAGGCAGATTCAGTCTCTGTTCCTGTGATGGAAGGCCACGCCTCCTTGTCAGTCCTATCTATTATCACTTTATCCCAGCTGCAGTTGGCTTCGCTTCTGTAAGTAGGCTGCTGTCCCCAGTGGGAATTTTCATAATGATCTGCCAATCCACTATGACTGAGATCTGAAAAAGATGAAACAAAATTCAAAATTAGATTTTCTACCCATTTGTCAATGAATCAACTGTTAACTAGTCTTTGGGGAAGCTCTTTATTTCAAGTCTTCAAATCTGAATGACAAGCACTAAAAAATGACTTAAAGAAAAAAGCTATTTGTCTTCTTAATAGATCCCATTTTAAGAAGCATTAATGTTTTTAAAATTATATCAATTCTTACCACTACACCATACTATTATTCCCCCTGGAGAATATTCACAATGCACATTAGCACATCAGCATCTCTGAAAGCATCTGTAGTAAAGCCAGCTCTGAAAGATACATGACTTTGCAACTCCTATAAATATAGAGACTGAGAAATGCTGGCAATGACAGTAAGTTCACGTGGAGTTTTGAATAAAGCTTATAGTTCTCTTTAAGATCTCTAATTAGATTACAGTATTATATAGAGGCGAAACATGGCTTTCAGTAGGAAAAAGTTGTAAATTGCATTGCAGAATCATAACAGAACCAATATTTGGGGTGGGGGAAGTGGTGACAGAAGGAAAGAGAGAAAAGACAAGGAGACAATGCTATCAAAATGTTATCAAAAATACTAAGGATTAGAAATGTTTAATTAGATGTATACTACTTTATCTGATCTTATCTGCAATTTGGTTTATCACTGTCTCCTGCACATTCATAAAAAAAAAAATCTGTAGCTCAAGGACATCACTAAAAAAAAGAAAAGAGAAGAAAAAGAATCTCAGCCCTACAGGTGCTATCTTTTGGATCTCTAAGGATTCCCTCTATCCTTGTTTTCTATTTCTTTAGTCTTTTCTTTGGAGATCCCTAGAATAACTACATGTCATCTTCTTACAGTATTTAACTCTTCGGGTCCTTTTAAAGAATCCCCTGTGTGGATCTGCATTTTATTTCCTATGACTTTAATAATTATTTAAGTATTTCCAACATCGCAGTCAAACTTATATTCCAATCAACTTTTTGGCAGACTTTATTCAAAGTATGTATCACTCAAAAATAAAGTAAAAGAAATGTTAAAAAAATCATTTAACCTAAATATACAACAAACCACATATATGATTTAGAAATCCTTAGTGAATTTCTCTAAATACTACAATATACAAATAAATTGCAATAAAATATTTTCTTCTCTTTTAGAACCTTTTAATTATGTTCTCTTCAAATTTATTTTAACAAGAAAAATCTTATATACAGTTAAAACATGAATTTCCCAAATAAATTCTCTTTTACAGTTTGATGTAAACGAAAAAAAGGAAGTGTGTAAAAAATTATCATTATCATTAGAAAGACCACACTAAAGCTAATATCAACCTAAAAGACATTTTTATTGCTTGATTTAAGAGCAATGTAATGATTTTATAATTATGCTCTAGGTGATTTCAAAGTAGGTATGTAATTCCAGGTGAAAATTACAAAGGAAAAATGAAGACAGGCAACAGAAAACTTTAAATGTTGAAACTGCTATAAAATGACTAGGTTCTTTTCACTGCCAAATATTAGGGGTTGGATCTATAACCCTGGTTTATGACAATTTGGTTTCGCACATACTCGAAAAACTAATATAATAACTGACTAAAGAGATAAATGAGCCATTCCTCATTTAACACAGAAAATAAGACCAAGTTAACACACAGAGATTATGGCTTGTTGCCAGCAAATATTGTCACATTTCATTTTAACACCAGTTTGGGTTCCCTCAGGGACAGGTTGTGCCATAAGGCAGGCTGTCTCTTGACTAGGATAGCACTCACTGCAACCCACACCCAGAAAGCAGGGGGTTAACAACCGATGCATTCTTTCCCATACGTGAGTTGCCATTTGAATACACAGTATTATTGGTTCCATTCCACGACAGTCACACTGTAAAATGATCTGCCCTCTGTTAATGGTCTACTTCCAGGACTTGAGGATTGCTCGGCCCCCAATTTGACAGGTTCACACTCAGTTACATGACAGGTTTGAAAGAAGGATAGCATTATAAGCTGGTGGCTAATAAATGCTGTTGGACAACTGTCTAGCCACATGAAATGAAAGTAGATCCCTTATATCGTATACAAAAATACATTCTAGATAAAGTAAAGAGCTAATTAGGAAAAGCAAAACTACTTAAAGCTTACTAAGGAAACACAGGAGACCATCTTTATGACCCTGGACATTGTATCTTCTTATAGAAGACAGGAAATATATAAGACATAAACAGGTGATAAATTTGACTATGCTAATATTAAAAACATCTATATAACAAAAGATATCATATAATGAAAGCTAAAAAAAACAAGCCACAGCAGGAAGAAGATACAACAGATAATGTATGGTTATCAGACTAACGAATTCCTGGCCAGGCGCAGGGGCTCTCGCCTGTAATCCCAGCACTCTGGGAGGCTGAGGTGGGTGGATCACCTGAGGTCAGGAGTTCAAGACCAGCCTGGCCAACATGGTGAAACCTCGACTCTACTTATACAAAAATTAGCTGGGAGTGGTGGTGCACGCCTGTAATTTCAGCTACTCGGGAGGTTGAGGCAGGAGAATCGCCTGAACCTGGGAGGTGGAGGTTGCAGTGAGCCGAGATTGAGCCACTGCACTCCGGCCTAGGCAACACAGTGAGACTCCATCTCAAAAAAAGAATCCTAAAAATCAGTAAGAAAAAGGCCAACAACTCAATCAGAAATGGGAAAAGGATAGGAACAGGCAATTTAAAAAAGAGAAAACTCATAAGCCATTAACATATGAAAAAATAATCAACCTCATTAATAATTAAGAAATGCACCTTAATGTTACACTCTAGATGAAAGTGACACAACACTATGATTTTTGAATTGTGGTTCCCTCTGGGGGTGGGATGGGGACCAGAATGGAGGTGGAGGGTGATACCTATAACATTTCTAAAACAGAGAGTCTTGAAGCAAATTTGGCATGCTATTATGTTAAATCTCTATTGTGAATATAGTTACATTATTTTCTGTATGCTTCTATTGAAAAAATATTTTTAAAATTTTTAATTTTTATGCTTAAATGTGATCCAAATCAGGTGGCAGAGCAGTCTGATTAAAAACCCATCTGATCCCTGAATTAAGTGTCTAATTTCTGAAGGTGAGTTCCTTGAGGGCATGGCAAATATCTTTTTAGTTTTCCATTCAAAATGCTTGCCACATATAGGCAAACAATATATGTTTCCTGGGCAAACAAAACCATAAATGCACAGTGCTACAATCTGAGTTCTAGCTGAAGTCACCAATCAGCTGCACTTGTACAGCCCAGATTGCTTTGAACAAGCACATCTGTCTTCTGAGGGAACCACTTCCACTACAATGACGTCTCTTACTCTGACCTTCCCAGGCTTTGAGGTGTAGATCTCAACTATGCCACAGCAAAATAACCATCAACAGGGCAATACTGGCAGGAAGCAAAGTCACTTCTACAAAGGCCAATATCCATCCCTAACAGCTGAAGTGCCATAAGGATGGCCATATAGGATGCCATAAGGATGAAGTCATGCCTGTTGAGTTTACATACCGGGTATTTCTAGAACCTTTTCCATTAAAACAAGAAACAAAACTTCCCTCTAACTGCCCCTATTCCAAGCACCCTCATATCTTGACTGGATTACTGTCAATAACTTTCCAACAGGTCTCTACCCACGCCCCCTCCTGTGCCCCCCACCCCCTCAACAATGTGCCCAACACTGCATACAGTGCTCTTTTCCAAATGAATGCCCAGTGGGTTACCAACGGTTGGGTCTCTTTTGAGGCTGCTCATATCATTCTTTCTCTTGCTCTGTGCTCCAGACAGTTCCTCAAGGTGCCATCTGTGTCCTGCCCTCCCAAAGACAGGGCTGTTAAACGTGCCATCCCCTACCTGGGCTCAATGTCTATTCTTTTTTCCTATCTCAAATCCATGGACATTTAATTTGGGACATTTTTGTTCCATAGTTATGACTCCCTCATACATTCATTGTAACAGTCTTCCTTTCAAGTCACTTAGACCAACCAGGGTGGCAAACCATTTCTGTAAAGGGCCTAATAGCCAAAATGCTTCAGGCTCTGTGGGCCATATAGTCTCTGTCACAACTACTCATTTCTGCTGCTGTGGCATAAAAGCAGAATGAGTGTGGCTGTGTGCCAACAAAACTTTATTTCCAAAAATAGGTGGTGGGCCAGATGTGGCTCATGGGCCCAGAGCTTGCCAACTCGATTGAAACAATAACTATTATTGAGTGCCTCCTATGTGCAGTTACTGTGCTGGGGACGCAGTCATAAACAAGATGAACGGCCTCTCTCTCACGGAGCACACATTCTAGTGTGAGTCATCGTGTGACTGGCTGGTTCTCCCTCTAGGCTGTAAACACCATGAAGGCAAGCAGTGCCTATTTTGGTCCTATTTTTATTGCCAGTGTTCAGCAGAGTACCTGACAGAGAAGAAGCAGTAAATAAACATCCATTGAACGAATGAATGAATAAATAATTCTTATCAATACTTGAAAGCAGTTTGCTAGTAAATGATGCTTAAATTTTCAGTCTTGAAGGTAAAATTAAGATTAAGCTTAGGTTGCCATGTTGACTAGCAACCAACTTAACTGAAGTTATTTGCAAAAATACTGGATTATCTATTCAGAAAAGTTAGTACAAGAGGAACTGACAGTTCAAAATCCTTTTTAGTTAGAAAAAATTACAACTGAGACTATGAATCTCTGTTGAAAACATAGATAGGGTTTGATAATAAGTTACACTACCTCACTCCTAGGTATATACCCAAAAGAAAGGAAATCAGTATATTGAAGAGATAGCTTTGATGTTTGCTGCAGCACTACTCACAACAACCAAGATTTGGAAGCAACCTACGTGTCCATAAACAGATGAATAAAGAAAATATGGCACATATACACAATGGAATACTGTTCAGCCATAAAAAGAATAAGATCCTGTCATTTGCAACAACATGGATGGAACTGGAGGTCACTATGTTAATTAAAATAAGCCAGGCAGAG